AAGGACACAGATATATACAATAGAATAAACACCAATTCCTTTGATTTCTACAAAACTTTACTCATGCAGAAATTGAATACATGCTAATAGGTACATAATGGTTTCTTTCCATGTCAGATAGGGTATGCATAAAATAGAAAAAGCCCACAGAATTGTAAAATATATCATTTTCTGCACAATCATTTCATTAATGTTCAATATTATTAAAAATAAGTTATTTAAGTAAAAGCCGGTAAGCTTTTTAGCTATTTCATTGTCAGGTGCTACTTATTCCATGTATAAAAATAAACTGGCTTATTTCTTTCCTTGGAAAGTCAGGGGTAACAGACTGTTTTAATAATATCATGATACGGAATCCTGATACCAAGTGTCTTCGGCTCTGTCCACCAGCTTTAGTGTATTGTGTTTGGATATATGTTCCCCCCTTGGAAGATGTACTTTGGCATTTGCAGTGGTTCGATTCTTCCACCCTTTATTCTTTGTAGGGGTAACATTTTAATATAAGTGACCATATTGATAACATGCTGTGTTTATTAATAAATGCCATTTCATAATAAGGACTAGTTTATGGAATGATGCTTGAGTCACCTAGTGTGATTGTTTTTCTTTTTCTTTGTCATAAAACCATTATTTATAGCATAGTGGTTAATTAAGAGTAGGATTCTAGAGCTGGATTGCCTAGTACGGTAATTATCTCATAGTTTTGTGGTGATGCTTAAATAGTTGTTATATGTAAAGTTCTTAGAACAGTGCCTGCCACATATGTATATTCTCTTTGTAAGTGGCCCGTGATCACCACTACCTCCTCCCCACCAGCACCATTATTATTATTTTTGTTGTTATCATATTGTGATTTTAGGGATTCTGTGTTTTCTGTTTCTACAAAATGGAGCTTTTTTTGTTTTTGTTTTTTTAATATTGTGAGCATATTTAAAGGAGTATTTTTCCACTTGACATGATTTCAAACAATCATCTTGACTGTTAATATTCAAGTGTGTGCATAACGGATCCAGTTTTTCTCTTGATTGTATTCAAAACCTTTTGTAAATCATATATTTCAGATCCTGTGGATAAGCTGAACTTAGTATAGAATAAGATCTCCACTATAAATTGTGTAGATATTGCATAATTAATACTGAAATGATACGATATAGGACTGTCAGGGTGAACAGCTTTTACAATCTCAACATTAGATTAGCAAAAAAGAAAAGAATAATGGCAAAAATAATATGGTCACATTCATATACCAGCTGGTTAGGGACACTTGTAAACCCAGAGATCCTCGATCAAAAAGCACACTTTGAATCACAAGCAAAGTAAAAATAATAGGAGCTTTCAGGAGGGCTCAGCTATTGTCTCTCATGAAGCTAGATAAAGAGAAAGAAAAGCGTTTTTGCACACTCCTCTCCTACACACCACGCAGCATCTTTTATTTGATGCTTATGCAGCTAGTTTGCACATATGTGTTTCTTTCACATCTTTCTCACTTGATGGCAGCTTGCCCAAAGGAGGCAATTTTAGTGTCCTTTCTGCATTTTGTCAGTTCCTTTCACTATGGAGTGTTTATTCCTTCTTTTTAGAAGTAACTAGGAGCCCAAGAGTGGCCATCCTTTTCCTCCCCTCCAGCCCAATGGTTAATCTGTTTAGACAGTTGAGTAATTGAAGAAGAAAGTAGCTTAGGGAGAACTTGTTAATGGGGATTTTACCTAGTTTAGCTGCTTCTGCACCCGAGTATTACCAGGAAATGTTTTTGCCAGCAAAGAATAATGGATCCCTTTAATAATTTGACTACATATAAATTACACAAGTGGAATTGTTAACAGTTTAACTTCTTAATTTCTTTCCTAGATGTTAATGATGGAGGGGAAAGAAGGGTATTATCCATATCCATGTTAAGAGCTATTAGTATATTAGGTGGGCTTATAAAACAAATCTCTGTTTTTTTTGTATATAAAACTTGGTTCTTTGAAATTGCATTTTAAGTGATGGTTCTTGTACTGCTCTTTCTTGATAAGAAACTCTAATCAACAGCATGATCATATCTTTTCTTTGTATAAGATTTGTATTGTTAGCAGTTGACTTGTACAACTGGTTAAACATATAAATACCAGAGCGTTGCATTCTGTATGCATAGGGAATATGTACTGTATTTTTGAGTTGCAAAATTCTCTTTAGTGGTTGTGAGATCAACCTAAATATTGATCCATATGAGATTCCAGTAGTAGTGTCTGATTAAACTGAAGGAAAACTAATGCTTTCCATCTGTGATGGTCTTTTCTTCATGATAGGCTTTTGACTTTTGTTGGTGTTGAAAAGACTGGAACCACGTCAGGCTTATCAATGGTTCACCTGTGTGATTCTTTTTTTTTTTTTTTTTTTTTTTTAAAGATTTTATTGGGGAACTGGGGGAGAGGAACAGCGTTGAGGAATCGGGGAAGGGGAACAGACAAGTTGCTGTCCTTTTGTTCTTCAGTCTATTTGTGGAGGACGTTTCACTGGCCCATGGTGGTATTATCATTGAGCTCTTCCTGGTGAGGCAGTTGCTCGCCGGCCATTGGACGGCCACTCACTGTGGCTCACTGCAGCTCACGAAAGGTCACGCCAGCTGCTGGCTAGCCCCACTGCAGCCTACACCATCGCCGGTGACCATCGCCGGTGACTCACAGCAGCCCAGCTCCAGGTCGAGCGGTTGTTCACCATCTTAGCTGTAGAGGGCGCAGCATCACTGGCCCTCATGTGGGATCCGAACCAGGCCCTGCTGCTCAGAGCTGGTGTCCCAAGCCAACTCCTACCCAACACAGCACTCGGCCAGCGCTGTATGATTATTTCTTTGTTAAAGAATGAAAATACAAGCCTTAATAGTATTCATGGCACCCCATTCTAAATTTGCCAAATCTTTTTCCTTTGCTTATTCTGCTTTTGGAATTCTCATTGACTCTATCTAGACCAGCAGTTCTCAACCTGTGGGTCGCGACCCCTTTGGGGGTCAAACAACCCTTTCACAGGGGTCGCCGGGTACTCGTATGTGGGCATATCTGCATGTGGGCCCGAAGATGGATAGAGGAGCGGTGTCTCGGTTCCTAAGACCATCGAAAATATGTGTTTTCCGATGGTCTCAGGCAACCCCTGTGAAAGGTTGAGAACCGCACAGTGACTTTTTTTCTTCCTCTGTGGAATGAAGCTGGACCTTAAACAGCTAAATTGGACCTTAAAGACCTAAATTCATTAATACAGGAAATTATCTGAAGGTTGGATCTAGGGTTTTTTTGTAGTATCTTTCTTGGCAGGAGTTTATGTGTATACCTAAGTACAGTTATAAAAGCCCAAGCTTATATATTATTCATTTACTGACCAATAGTATGCACCTGATATGTGCCAGATATGAAAATAGAAAACTGGGGTGAAAGGACAGGATGGTTAGGGATTGGTGTTATAATGTATAGATAGATCTAAGAGTGGAGGGGTGTGTGTGTGTGTGTGCGCATGTAGATTATATACATATACATACATATATATCTAGATATATATATATATATATATCTAGATATATATGATGGAATACAGACAATGATCATCTTATGGGGGTGTTAAGAGCAAGAACGTCTTCCCAAAGAAGATAACATTTTTGTTGCTTTTTGAAAGCCATGTAAAATAAACCAGTGAGTTCTAGTATTAGCTCAAGAGAAGACTATGATCATATTCTCCTGCTTCCTTTTTCTCCATGGAACTTACTGCCATCCTACATGCTATGTTAATTTCATTAATTCATTCCTTGTCTGCAATATTGGGATGTAAGCTCTTTAAGGGTAGGGATTTGTGTCTGTTTTGATTATTTCTATATCCTCAACACGAAAAAAGTGCCTGGCATGTAGCAGGAGCTCAAATATATGTTGAATGAGTGGATGAAGTTTGTGAGTTCTAGAATAATTGCCTTATTTATTTTCTTTCACTTTATTAAAAATATCTTTCCACAATTCTTTCATATTTTTGCTTAATATTTTTCATTATGTGTACTTGAATCTCCTTTTTCACAATGTTTCTCAAACCCATCCTCTTTTCCATCTTTTTTAGCTCATTTAGTCTCTAAAATCTCTTACCTGAATTAATACAATCTCTTTATTGTTTTCCATGTCTCTATGCAAGTCTCCTTAAATTTCTTTTTCACAGCTGTCAGAATTATCTACATAAAATACAGAGCTGACCAAACCATTTCTTTGCTTAAAAATCCCTACTGGTTCCCATCTGTCTAGAATAGCATTTGTGTTCTTGAGGATGCCACACAAGCCCATCGATAGCTTGGATTCAGCTACATAACGGGGAGTTCTCTTACCATCTTTAACATAATAAAAATGGGTCTATTCATTTTTCTTTGTATCTCTAGTGCCTAGCATATAATAGAGAATGCAGTATATACTTTTTTGAGTAAATGAAAGTATATAAATGTGTATGAAGGAGTGAATAACTACAATAGGAAATTCCATTGAAAATGCTTGCTGTTTAGATAAAAGGTGACATGAAAATCTACCTTGTCACTAGCATTTAAGAATAGCTTTTCCTGTACATAGCTGACTTGTTCTTCCTACTGTCTAGCTGATGCACTCTTTGTCCTCCCTCGATTCTTTGGAATCCCTTTTGAAGGAATAACATTTATATTGTTCATTTGGGAAGCAGTCCAGTTTCTCATGGCTTGCCTCTCTATAGTTCCTCTCTCCATCCTCTTCTCTGTATGTTGGGTCTTTTATCCCTAGCTACTTCATTTCTTTAGAAATTTATGTATATGCATGTGTGCCGAAACCCATGTATGCATCTCTTCTCTGTTCTGGACATAAATTCTGTGCTTAATATTTTGCATGCAGTCCTGAAACCTTTAGGATTAAATTATTTCTACAGGACACACACTCATAGACAACCCTGATCTACCTGTTTGCAAGTTAAAATTATTGTGACTATTTGTATCTATTTTAATTTCCTTTTTCTCCCTTAAATGTGTATACACCCAGATTGAAAATCTCCAAGAGCAGCTCAGAGATAAGGAAAAGCAGATGAGCAGCTTGAAGGATCGAGTTAAGTCCTTGCAGGCTGACACCACCAACACGGACACCGCCCTGACGACTCTGGAGGAGGCCTTGGCCGAGAAAGTGAGTGATGGCTGTAGGCTCTTCATGCACATTTCTTCTGCTTCCTCATTAATAATCTAACAGTTCCTCTAGTCCTGAGACTCGGATCATGGAAGACAAAAGAAATCCCTTTGGGCAAAAGGGAGAAGAGTTCTCTGTACTATTGCTGAGTAGGTAGCGTAAGGGGGAAAAACCCATTTTGTTATTGCCAATGTAAGCATTTGTTGCTAGGCAAGATAAGTTCTACACTAGACGCAGTGCCTGAAGTTTTTAAAGAATTAGCCATTTGTTCCCCATTTATGATCTTGTGAAGAAAAAGAAAGTTATTTTTATTTATATGGTCAACTAGAATTTGGGGATATGGGGATATCAGACACTGATCACGAGGAAGCAGTATAGAATTATTGATAGTTCTCCTTTACTATGCCCCCTTGGTACCGAATACATTTGTGGGGTTTAGTCGTTAATATGATATACTTGCTGTGTTTCTAGTTGTTGCCTTGCTACTTCATTTTGCCTTTATGAACAAACTGAGTTTTTCAAAAATAGCTGAATAAATAAAATGTGACCCAACAGAACGAGTGTTGCAAGGAGGTTTAAGGAATCTTAGTGGGGCATTTTAAATAGATTTTTTAAAGGAATAGGTCACTGTTCCTTAAACTTCTTAGACAGAATGCTCCATGCTGCCTGCCAGGGAAGCTTGATCCCTGAATATATTTCTAAATAATACCTGGAAATATACGTAAATTGCTTAACTTTCAAACTCCCTAGCTGTTGACAGAAAGAAGTTTTAATGGTTTCTTTTTTCTTTACCCTTCTTTATGCTTTAAACTCAACATAGCATAATCTCTCCAACCTCCCCTTTTTTTGATGTGTGAATTGTGAGTTGTTTCCATCGCCTTCTGGGCAACATATAAATTTATATAAAAACAAATACTTGCTATTTATTGTCTTTAGAGTGTGTGTATATATATATATATATATATAAGTTTTTGGTTACTTGAGAATTGAATAAATGGGATTATACTAGTTGAGATAATGTGTAAAGAAACACAGGGTAATCAAACTAACAAAGTCAGATCTTTGTTATAGCAAGAAAAGTAGGAAGGATGAATGCTTTAAAGAGTAAATGATTAGCAACTTTTCACTGTCTTTTGAATGGGGGACAGAAGTGTGAAATTTCATCTTAAAGTTGAATTACAGCCATGGTACAAGTACGAAAGAAATTTTCTCACGTATGGATGTGCTGTCTCATCAGGAGCGAACAATTGAACGCTTAAAAGAACAGCGGGACCGAGATGAGCGAGAGAAGCAAGAAGAAATTGATAACTACAAAAAAGATCTTAAAGACTTGAAGGAAAAAGTCAGCCTACTGCAAGGCGACCTCTCAGAGAAAGAGGTTAGGATCACCAAAATGGAATTATTTGGTTTGCTTAGTCAGTGCGATATGTGCATATGTTATAGTGGGGTTTGCATAATGCATATAAAAAAGTATTTGATGGGAGACTTTCTTAATATTCTTATAGCAGGCCTTTTGGGAAGACCTGAAGGTATATTTAAGGAAGCTTTGCAGAGACATAGTAAATTGGATCATTTATTTCCTAAGTCTAATCCCTTTCAGTGTGTTATGAGTTGGTTTTGTACTTGTTGATGCCATTTTTTAAGATCTTAAAATAATTGAAGCCCAGTTACATTTGGAGAAGTATTGTGCCTTATGTTAAGAAAGGTGATAGATGACAGGAATATGCAAAGGGAGAACGATTTGTTTATAACAGCTCTTAAAATGCATCTCACCATTGGCATAGAAATTTTAAATGTTGGCTATTTAGGTAATCTATTTTGATACTGCCTTTGGAGACTCCTGTTAATGTGACTTAAATAGCAAAAATGCCTAATGCCTTGTGATCAGATAATAATATATGAGCTTTAGGGAAATCTTCAGGATTTTCTTTCTAATATCTTTAAGAAGACTTATGGAAATTTAAGTTTCTAGTAGAATTTTCTTCTAAAAGGGAAAGTGTTTTATATTTAAGTCAGTATAACTACTGAGGTTGACTACTTACATTCACAAAGCTTGATATAATCTACTTCCATTTATTTTATGGGAATGAATATATATTGATAGAGCTTATTAAATCATTATTTAATTGGTATTTCTTGGGAATTCATCTTATTATAGTTAGGACTTGAAAGCTAAAGTTAATATTTTATATTTCATGTTCTTGAAATGGAAATGTGTCAGTATGTGATAATGGAAAGAAACTACAAGCCACCAGGAAAATAAATTTAAATCTTCATTTTGTTTATAGTTAGTATTTATTCTCTCTGTGTGTTGTGTTGCTTTTAGGCTTCACTCTTGGATCTGAAGGAACATGCTTCTTCCCTGGCTTCCTCAGGACTGAAAAAGGACTCACGGCTAAAGACACTAGAGATTGCTTTGGAGCAGAAGAAAGAGGAATGTCTGAAAATGGAATCCCAGTTGAAAAAGGTTAAAGAAAAATTTACCACATTCTTTCTTTGCTTTAAATAAGAACAGAGTAGAAAACTCTACAGTGTTTGTATCTAATAACTTACCAATGGAGTAATAATCCCTAAAGTTCAAAACCATTTATACCTTGATTAATTTTCTTAGAATTCTTACCCTATTTTATTGTATTCCTGAGAATCCACAAACTCTTAGAAAATTGACAGTTCAGAGGAAGATTAAAATATGTAGTATCCTTATGGATGAAATGTAAGACCACGATGTAAAATCTCAACTAGCTGATGTTTTTCTTCCATTAGCATCAGGCTTCCTAGAAGGAGATAATTTAACAGTGATGGTGACCCACCCTGGCAAATATTAGGATATCATTTCTTTGATTTATGCTTCCCTCATATTTATACGGCAGTTTATAGTTTTCAAAGCAGTTTTATATTTGTTATCTCTGAGCTATCAGCTCTTTGAGAATTGCAACTGAGACTTTTGAGCAGTTGCTGTAACTGCATCCAGTTCATACGATTACTAATGAAAAAGGGGTACAGCCTCATCTTGAGACTTCAAGTTTTGTTCTTTTTCCATGTATTGGATGTATTCAACATGATACCCTCATAATTAATCATCATATAGGGTATGCCAAAAGTAAAATCATATTCTTAAGCTAAGGAAAGGAAGAAAATCCAGTATCTTAGTTACTTTTGAATAAGTAGGAAATAATTTTTTTTTTTTAAGATTTTTATTGGGGAATTGGGGGGATGGGAACAGTGCTGGGGAATTGGGGGAAGGGGAACAGAAAGTTGCTGTCATTTTGTTCTTCAGTCTAGTTGTGGAGGACGTTGCTTCACTGGCCCAAGTTGGCACCATCATTGCGCTCTTCCCGGGAGAGGCACATCAGTCGCCGGCTTCTGGACAGCCGCTCACTGCAGCTGCTGGCCGCTCACTGCGGCTGCTGGCTGCTGGCTGCTGGCAACACACGGTAGCCCATGGCAACCCACTGCCACAGGGGCTGCAGCCTACACTGTCGCCGGCGACTCACAGCAGCCCAGCTTCAGGTTGAGCTGTTGTTCAGCATCTTAGCTGTGGAGGGCAGTGTCAGTGGCCCTCATATGTGGGATCCGAACCTGGGACCTCTGGTGTCCCAAGCCAGTTCTTAACCATCGCTCCACTCGGCCGGCCCTCTTTATATATTTTGGATTTGAACACTTTTGAATATAAAATTTGCAAATATTATCTTCTCCCATTCAGTAGTTTTCCCTTGATTTTGTTGATGTTTTCCTTTTTTGTGCAGAAGCTTTTTAGTTTGATGTACTCCCACTTGTTTACTTTTACTTTTGTTGTTCTTTCCTTTGGAGTCATACCCCAAAAAATGTTGCTAAGAGTAATGCCAAAGAGCCTATCTAAGCCTATGTTTTCTAGTAGGATTTTTATGGTTTCAGGTCTTTCATATTATTTGAGTTAAATTTTGTGTGTGGTATAAGACAGTGGTCCAGTTTTGTTCTTTTGTATGTAGCTGTCTTGTTTTCCCAGTACCATTTTTTGAAGAGACTGTCCTTTCCCCATTGTATATTCTTGGCTCCTTTGTCCTTTGTTAATTGACCAGTATATGTGTGGGTTAATTTCTGGGCTTTCTATTCTGTTCCATTGATCTATGTCTCTTTTTATACCAATATCATATTGTGATTACTATAGCTTTGTAGTATAGATTGAAATAAGGGAGCATGATAACCTTTGGCTTTGTTCTTCTTTTTCAAGGTGGCTTTGCCTATTTGTGAACTTTTGTGATTCCATACAAATTTTATAGTTATTTGTTCTAGTTCTGTGAAAAATGCCCTTGGAATTTTGATAGCAGTTGCATTGAAAGTGTAGATTGCTTTGGGTAGTATGGATATTTTAACACTATTAATTCTTTTAATCCATGAGCATGGAACATCTTCCTGTTTATTTGTGTTTCTTCAATTTCTTTCATCAGTGTCTTCCAGGTCTCAGTGTACAGGTCTTTCACCCCTTATCCATTTGGTACAAATTCATAATGAATGATCACTCTGATATCAAAAAAAGGTTAGCAACATTGTTGCAACAAGTTTGTGAACTTAATTGTCGGACTGGTAAGCTCCTTTCTGGGAGGTATTGTCAAGCTGTATCTATCTAGGCCAAGGGGTGCCCAAGGATGTTATTTCCCTGCTTATGTTCCCTGGGATCACCTCCATAGCTTCTAGATGTATGGGAAACCTGAAGCCCATTCCTCAGGTTAAAGCTCCAGGATAAGTAAATATAGATCCTTTTCACAGGGAGCCTGAGAGTGTGTTTCAGTCTGCTGTTTGTGCAGTGCCCTGAGGGTCAGCACTGTCTTTCCAATTGTTAGAGTCTTGTGGAGCCCAGGAGCACCAACCCTGTTGCCCACGAGGGCCAGGTGATCCAGGGGCATCTCCTGTGTGGATTGCACATGCCCTCTGGTTTAATGAGGCAGCTGGAGAGTGTAGGGGTGGAGTATGCTCACTGTCTTTAGCAAGGCAGCAGGAATATGCCTTGACTGTGCACCTGCAGGAGGGTGTGTCCTGTATGTGTGCACTGGCTTCAGGGAAGGAGTGGGAGAATGCTGTGACCATGTGTGCTCGCCTGTCCCTGCCAGGGAGGGTAGAGTGCTGCGACCACCTGCGCTCAGTGGTTTTCAGCAAGGCAGCAGGACGGTACCATGGCCACTCACCACAGCCTGTCCTAGCAAGGCAGCAGGACGGTGCTGTGTACACACTTGCCTACCTGTGCTAGAAGGGCAGGTGGACAGAGCACATAGGTGTCTGCCAGCACCTCCATCGCTGAGGGGAATTCAGATGCCCCATGCCCCTCCAGCAGGTGCTTTAAGATTAGCAATGAATCGGCTTCACACATAGGCTTGGTGCTTTGCAAACTCTGCTTCGTGCTGGGTTTTAGGATGAGTGAGACCACATGTGAGCTGATTGGAAGGAGAATCTCAGTTCCCCAGAGCCCTTTGGGCCCCTTGGACATCAGGCCTTTGCTTTTGAAAGCCACACATTTTAGAGGCTCATCTCTCTTTGGTGTAGATCTCAAGGGTTGGGGTGCATGATGAGGGGCAGAAACCCCTTTCTTCTTCAGGAGAAATGCCATTCTGCTGAGATCCCTTTTTGTATTGTGTGTTGCTGTGCTGGGAGTGGAGGTTTTTCTGGCAAGAGCGTGTCTCTGCCTCTCCTAACCATCTTGATTTGTTGGGGAGTAGCAGTCCATCTAGTTTTCAGAGAGAAATGACCCACATGTAGCTGTAGATTTGGTGTGTCCCTCAGAGGAGGTGAGCTGAGTTCAGAGTCTGTCAGTACCACTCGCTATGTTGGACCTTTTGCCCCAAAGTTTTTTTTTTTTTTTTTTTAAAGATTTTTATTGGGGAATTGGGGGGATGGGAACAGTGCTGGGGAATTGGGGGAAGGGGAACAGACAAGTTGCTGTCGTTTTGTTCTTCAGTCTAGTTGTGGAGGACGTTGCTTCACTGGCCCAAGTTGGCACCATCATTGCACTCTTCCCCCGGGGAGGCAGATTAGTCGCTGGCTTCTGGACGGCTGCTCACACTGGCTGCTGGCTACACACGGTAGCCCATGGCAACCCAATGCAGCAGGGGCTGCAGCCTACGCCGTTGCCGGCGACTCATGGCAGCCCAGCTCTAGGTTGAGCTGTTGTTCAGCATCTTAGCTGTAGAGGGCAGTGTCACTGGCCCTCATATGTGGGATCCGAACCGGGGCCCTCAGGTGTCCCAAGCCAGTTCTTAATCATTGCGCCACTCGGCCGGTCCCAAACTTCTTTTTTTAACCATATTTTTTTTACCTTTTCTTTCTCTCGCTTGTTCTATTCTTATATTATGCTCCTCTTTCTTCTTTCCTCCCTAACTTGTCTCTCTCTTTAACATCCTGAAATAGTGGTAAGCCACCCATCCAAGTCAGCAAGAGTCCTGGCTAAGTGGCGTCATAGGGTCCTGGTTGATGTTTTTTCTGTATTTTGCATATGCAATTTTTTAACTACACTATAGAAAAGTGAGTACATTTGACTTCCTCATTTGTACCTTTCTCAAGTAGAAACTGTAGAGTCTTTTTGTTTTAATGACTTTTTTCTAAAGTATATTGGGGTGAACACAAAGTGGAAAAGTTTCTGTGAGACCAAAATACTCCCCCAAACTTTGGGAGATGTTTACATTTCTTCTGCTTTTGCTTTGTTTTATTCTTAGTGAGTTAATTCATTCAGGGCTGCCTTCCTCCCCTTGCTTTTACTTTTTTGTAGCTTTTAACCACACCAGTTTAGGGTAGTATTTTGCTAATATGTTAAAATACTTTTCTTCCAATGGAATCTCCTTTAAAGTAAGTAATTGTGGATTTTCACAACTAATTAAACCTGTAACAAAAGATACTGGTAAGGACTTAATCTTAAAAGGACAGCTATTGCTTTGACAAAGCACTTAGCCTAATTTATAGAAACATTTCTCTTTTATTTGAGGTATTTTGCATCAGAGTTTTCCAAAGTATTTCCTAAGAATACATATTTATCCCTTTAATGTTTTTTTAAACCATTTTAAGGGACTTAGTATGTTTTGTGGTTTATCAAATAAGGGAAATTAAAACAACTTAACCTTAGTCTCATTAAATACATTATACATACTTGGCTTTAGAGAGTCAGGAGGAAAATTGAACACTTGAAATTTAGTTTTTAATTATTGAAACTGCTTTGTATTCCAAAGTGTATCAAAGGTGTACTAGTTGCCATTTGCAACAAGATCCTGAATAAAAAATATTTTCTCAGTTTTAAATGTGATTGTTGATTTCTGACTTTTTCTTGTGTTGTCTTGTAAAATCCTGAATCCTGGCATTGGGAAGGTGATAGCCATTTTCTTAACCTAACTTTATTTTTCTGGTACCACATTTGCATCGTTTGTATGATTCTAGATGCTTTGGCCTTGAGATTCATACACGCTTGCTAAACAGTATATAGGAGAAGGGAAAGGAAGTCATGGTCAAGTGGGAATTAGATCCCAGCGTTGGTAGTGCGATCATAACATCAGCAGTGAGTCTCTGGTGATTTCTTTTGACGTTATCTTGGAGAGATCAGTATTGTCTAATGGTTTGTTAGTAAGTCTAACTAGACTCTGAAGCTCTTTTGGCTTATGATGAGTTTCGGCCTAATAGTAAATATTTAGGGATGTACTGTTTTAAAAACTAATCCATTTGGAATCTAAGATAATTGTTTCTTTACTTATTACTAATATTTTGTCTGTGTAATATCTAAGAGAAAAATTTTATAAATTGAAGACTAGCTATTAGATATTTGATAATACTATATTTAAATTGGAATAGTGATAGTTCTTTGGGACATGGTTTTACAACTGCCACTGTATATATATCTGATAGAATTTGCACATTTTTCTTTGTAGGCACATGAGGCAACATTGGAAGCCAGAGCCAGTCCAGAGATGAGTGATCGAATACAGCAGTTGGAGAGAGAGATTACTAGGTACAAAGATGAATCTAGCAAGGCCCAGGCAGAAGTTGACCGCCTCTTGGAAATCTTGAAGGAGGTGGAAAATGAGAAGAATGACAAAGATAAGAAGATCGCTGAGTTGGAAAGGTAAGGAAAGGAAGTCGAACAGAGACTCACTATGTTCAAAAGGTTAAAGTATGGTTTTAAAACTGTGTACTTTTGGAGACATGCTTTTCAATTTATCTGCCTCTCTGAATTTAGATTCATGAGTGCTTGATGTTACTTTATTATCTACTTTTTATTCTAAGTCAGTGTTAAATTCGTTGTTGCAGTCTTTAAAAGGCAACACAGAGTGGGAATAAATTGGGAAGCTATGGACGTCAACATGATTGGTTGGAAAAAGAGAAAGTATTCATTGATTAAGAAATTAAAGTTTTCTGTTGGCTAATCAAATGAGTACAAATAGCCACTTGCTGTTTAATTATTTGTCTGTCTAAGAACCAACTGAGCCTCAACTTCAAGGAGTTAATACTTTTTCATTGGTTGAGACCAATTTTTTTTTTTTTAAAGATTTTTTTTTTATTGGGGAATTGGGGGGATGGGAACAGTGCTGGGGAATTGGGGGAAGGGGAACAGACAAGTTGCTGTCGTTTTGTTCTTCAATCTAGTTGTGGAGGACGTTGCTTCACTGGCCCAAGTTGGCACCATCATTGCGCTCTTCTCTAATGAGGCAAATCAGTCGCCGGCTTCTGGACGGCCGCTCACTGCGGGTGCTGGCCGCTCACGCTGGCTGCTGGCTACACACGGTAGCCCATGGCAACCCACTGCCACAGGGATTGCAGCCTATGCCGTCGCAGGCGACTCATGGCAGCCCAGCTCCAGGTTGAGCTGTCGTTCAGCATCTTAGCTGTGGAGGGCAGTGTCGCTGGCCCTCACATGTGGGATCCGAACCGGGGCCCTCTGGCATCCCAAGCGAGTTCTTAACCATCGCGCCACTCGGCCGGCCTGGTTGAGACCAATTTTTGTTGAGCTGATTCTCCTTTGGGCTATGCATTTTTAGACTTGGACAATTTGTAGAGAAACAGGCTATTGCTATTATATCAGTGCACAGGCCAAATATAGAAGAAGGAGGGACATTTTGAGGACAATTTAGGAGACTTGAATATATTTATGGAGCACTGACTTTGAATTCTTCGAAATGAACTATGTTTGAACAAATCTGGCTAGACAGCTCTCTTAGAATTGTCTTTGTCTTTTTCTCATTATGGCTTAATATACTAAAGATTATGCATATGCCTCTTGTCCTCTTCTTTTACATCCACTATATAGTTAACATAAATTCCCAAGTGCATAGAAACAGTTCTTCCATTAGCATTTCTTTTATCACCCATATTCTTCTAAAGAGTCAAAGACTGACAGTGACAGAATGAAGTCACTACTCTAAGTGGCTCCTTGGAGCCTGATTCTTAGGAATATTTTTATTTTTAGTCTCTTGAAGGTTGGGAAGTATTAGACTACATTCATAAGTGTTTACTAAGCTTTAAATTTTTGAGTTACAGTATACTTGATGTTTTCCTCTTGAAGTTATTTTTTTTTCTATTCTGTACCCATAGAATTTTAATTTTCAAGAAACTAAATAAAGTCCAATCCTCATATTTTTCCTTCACTATTTTAAAATTGTGAATAACATGGGCTAATTACCTACTCACTTATTTTCTTATTTTGATATTTACTTTATTCATATTTTCTGGTTTTGGATAAATTCTTTCAGTCAAAATTAGCAAATTACCAGTCTCAAGATTAGATGATGTGTGTTTTTGTATGTCTTCCTCTATGTTTGCACTACATCTTCCCTCCCAACACACACATGCACCCCTCCTTTACATACTCTCATGAATACATGCCTCTCTTTGCTTTTGTGTCTGCCTGAAATCAGCAGCAGTATGGCATAGATTTTAAAATACCATACTTTTGATGGATTAGTGAATGCCCATTAAATATATTGCAATATTTCAGAAAGGAAATTCCTTGATAAAGTTTCCATTTTTGGTTTGACTTCTTGTATTAGAAATCTATGTTGAAATTATTGCTTGCTATTCCAGGCAGCTTGCTTGAAAAATGATTCAGCTCATTTTGGACCCAGTACTGATTTTGGGAGATGGAAATGATTTGAATGAGCGTAAGAAATAGGATTAAATCTGTATTTGATATCCAAAGCACAACAAAGAGCTTTTATTAGCCACTGTATTTCTCAAATTTTGAGAAAAAGTTGTAAATGATCTACTCTTTCTATGGAATGTAACATAAGGTTGACAAATCACTGGTCATGCAGGGTTGTAATTTTGTTTTAGGATTCGACACAAAGTTTTTTGGCTACACAAAAAGTTTTTATTTAATTTTTTAATTAAAAATTTTTTACCTGCTTTAAGAAACAGTTTTTAAAACTCAGTTTTTGCTTACTGGCTTTGTAATTTGTCACTGAGCAATATAGTTAAACATAGGAGCAAATAGTCAAGGACAGTTGGGATTATATAAATACGCCTTTTGTTCCCAGATTTAGTTCTGAGGTGCAGGTGTGTGCCTGCTGTTTTCCACCTCCATTTGTTTCTTGGGTTGCCATTCCACTATTTCCTGTGTGTGGGTATCTGTCTCCCCATAATTTATGATTTGAGTCTCTTCACCTTTCTTTTGACTTGTTTTATCATGGTCCTATTCCATTGGGGTTTGGGTCTCTGTGTGTTTATATGTATTCCCTCTTGGCCGTGTGTGCTATTTCTCAGAAAGCCCATCTCCTGCAGTGTGTACATTCCACACCAGGATTCTGTCCCTGCACCATTGGGGGTTTGTTTGGGACTTCCTGGCAAAGTGAGTATTATGGAAGGCCACAGTTCTGTACTAACTGAATTCCGGCTGCTGCTCTTGCAACTGCTGGGATCAGCTGGGAATTTCACTTGATCAGAATTCAAAAACAGTTGGTTACATGTCAAGTTGAACTGTACCTCTTAGGTGCATTGTTTGTGGATAAAGTGTATGTTCTCACTGGTAAGATTCTGATATTCTCAGTTCTAATTTTCTTAGCCTTTGTTTTTAGCCCATCTTTTATAAAAAAAAAAAAACTTTATTGGGGAACAGTGTGTTTTTCTAGGACCTATCAGTTTTAAGTCAATTTGTTGTTTTCGATCTAGTTGTGGAGGGCGCAGCCCACCATCCTATGCGGGAATCGAACCAGCAACATTGGTGTTATGAGCACCGTGCTCTAACCATCTGAACCAACCGGCTGTCCCTCTAGCCCATCTTTTATGTGGTGGTTCTCTTGCTGGAATGCTGTCTAAGTATTGGGTTGTCGGAAAAGTCATGACGCATGTTTGCAACAGATGGCACTAGTTCATTTTTGGAAGTACTAGAGTCATTCGCATCTATGATATTGCTATGTCATTTGACAGTTGACAGTTCTAGCTTCATTCTAAAAAAAAATTGAGCGATTTGATTGAGTTTTGGAGATTTTACTAGTTAAAACTGTGCATTTTTGCCATATTTTACTGTTTTACTTCCATAAAGGGAAGAACGCGTGTCAAGCTTGTAAAAAGGTGCATAAAGTTTATGGTGACAATGCTCTACAAGAACATCAGTGCCAACAATGGTTCACGAAATTCCGTGCTGGTGATTTTGATCTCAACGACGCTCCTCGGTCAGAGAGGCCCACCGAGGTTGATGACGACAAAATAAAGGCATTGATCGAGTCAAACCTACGTTACACGACATGAGGGATTGCAGAAACATTGAACATCCATCGTTCAAGCATGCACAACCACCTGAAGAAGCTGGGATACGTAAACAAGCTCGATATTTGGGTGCCGCATTAACTCAAAGAAGTTCATTTGACGGCACGAAAAACATCTGCAATATGCTCATTAAATGTGAGAAAAACAATCCTTTTTTGAAGTGACTGATATCTGGTGATGAGAATTGGATTGTTTACAACAATGTGGTGCGCAAACGGTTGTGGTCCCAATGTGACGATTCCCCTCAAACGACATCGAAAGCAGACATTCATCGGAGGAAGGTTATGTTGTCAATGTGGTGGAATTTTAAAGGTGTCATGTTTTTCGAGCTCCTACAAAGGAACCAAACAATCAATTAGAATGTGTGCTGTTGGCAGTTGGACAGTTAGAACGAATCCATCATCCAGAAACGTCCAGAGCTTGTTAATTGTAAAGGAGTTGTGTTCCATTGCGACAACGCGAGACTACACACAAGTTTGATCACCTGTCAAAAATTATTGGAGCTTGGATGGGATGTGTTGCCACACCCACCATACTCACCTGACCTTGCGCCACCAGACTGCCACTTGTTTCGCTCTCTTCAAAACTCTTTGTGTGGTATAACGTTCAATTCAGATGAGGCTGTAAATCAGCACCTTGTTCAGTTTTTCGCAAATAAAGACAAGTCCTATGAACGAGGAATTATGAAGCTCACTGAAAGTTGGCAAAAGATTATCAAGCAAAACGGGAAATATATCATTTGATCTTTGTTCTTTATATAAATAAATGACCTTTGAAAAATATAGACAAAGGCCGGCTGAGTGGCACGTTGGTTAAGAGCTGGCTTGGGATACCAGATCTGAGCAGCAGGGCCCTGGTTTGGATCCCACATGAGGGCCAGTGATGCTGCACCCTCTACAGCTAAGATGGTGAACAACAGCTCGATCTGGAGCTGGGCTGCCTTGAGTCACCGTCAACGGTGTAGGCTGCAGCCCCTGCTGCAGTGGGCTGCTGTGAGCTACCACGAGTTGGCTGGCAGCCGTGAGCTGCTGTGAGCCTCTGTGAGTGGCCGTCCAATGGCTGGTGAGTGACTGCCTCACCCGGGAAGAGCACAATGATAATACCAACATGGGTCAGTGAAATGACATCCTCCACAACTAGACTGAAGAACAAAAGGACAGCAACTTGTCTGTTCCCGTTCCCCGATTCCCCAATGCTGTTCACCTCCCCCAAGTCTCCAATAAAATCTTTAAAAAAATAAAAATAAAACAAAGTAAAGAAAAACATAGACAAAATACGTCATGACTTTTCCGACAACCCAATAGTAGTCCCTTAGCCAATGTAGGGGTGTAGGACTCATTTCTGAAGGGTGTGCAGCAGCCTTCT